GGTGGGAGGGTGGAGGAGCTGGGAGGGGTGGGAAGGTGGAGGGAGAGACCATCTTTAAAGAAGACGCTAAGGTTCATGCATTCAGCCAGTGACTTTCATGAATATACGATAGTACTGGAGGCAGGCAGGAGCTGGAGCCATGGTCATTCACAACCTATCAAACGATAATAACCAACATATCGGTCATGTGTCACATGACTATAGAGCCGTGGTTTGTTTTTTTTTTGAGTCGGAGTCTCACTCTGTCACCCAGACTGGAGCGCAGTGGCTGCTCCCGGCCACCGCAGCCTCGACCTGCTAGGCTCCGGTGATCCTTCCACCTCAGCCTTCCGAGTAGCCGGAATTACAGGTGCGCGCTACCACACCCGTCTGATTTTTTGATTTATTGTAGAGATGAAGTCTCACTGCCCAGGCGGGTCTTGAACCCGCGGGCTCAGGCAACCCACTCACCTCAGCCTCCCAAAGGTGTGGGATTACAGGCTGAGCCACTGAGCCCCGGCAGAGTCGTGTTTTTATCAAACCTTGCCTACATTTAGGTATGTTTAGATACAAAAATACTTACCATGGTGTTACAATTGTCCACAGTATTCAACACAGTAACACCCTGTTCAGATTTGTAGCCTAAGAGCAACAGGCTCTACCATCCAGATTTCAGCACACCCTATGATATTCAATGACAAAATCACCCGAGGGCGCATTTCTTAGAATGCTATCTCTGTCATCCCAGTCGTTAAGGATGCAGGAGTGTTCTGCTCTAAGTGTTCCACACATGACAATTCATTAAAGTCTCCCAACCACCTCAAGAGTAGTTATTATTTACAGGTGAAGAAACAAAGATTCAGAGAAGTGGAAACATTTGCCCAACTAAGGTCATATGCTGGTAAGACGCAGAACTGAAATGGAAGCCAGGGTATACGCTCAGGCCTAGGCTACTGCCTCAATACCACCTACAATAAGAGAATACAGAGCGATGTCAACCCGACATCATTGTTTCAAAAGAACTGCCATTAAAATTGCTCTCACCGTGGTTTACCAACAAAGTCAAGTCTTAGAATGAGTTCCCAGGGAACATGCTCGTTCCACAACCATTCAATGTGGCAAGGTCTACAGAGTCTCTGCCATTATTATTGTACATACATTCCTTTCACCTAACCAGCCAGTGTTCAGGCATACGGTGGTCCACACTTCAGGTTTCCTGTTTGCACAGCAGTCTCCTGATGCTTCTCAAAGGAAAAATATGACAAAAATATTCTACTGAGGACTACTTTCCAATTGGGAAGACAACTTAAGTGAAAAAGTAAAGCATCAATGTGATAAAACTGAAGTAACATATGAAAACACTAAGAGGTGTTAAAAAGTCAGAGAAAAAGATGTTGACATCAGATGTAAATTACACTCATGTAAAAAAAAATAGTCATCTCAGTTCAGAGAAGCACATGAAAGTGTTTGAAAAGACAGGAGTGCTACTAAAGGCCACTAGGTCATGTATAAACATGCGGCACATTATGCTTCTATATTTGGCAGAATCACTTAGTGCTGTTGAGGACAAGCCTTTATAAACACTTAGTTGGTTCATTGTACAACTAGGTGAAGAGATAAGCTCCAACCTAAAGCAGCCTGAGGTCTTGGTTCTGTATTATTCTGAAGAATGTACCTTAACATTGCTTGTGGACCGAGGTGGCAGCCATCTCCTACCCGGCATCATGGCTGTCCTCAGACCCCTGGTGGAACCCAAGATTGCCAAAAAGAGGACCAAGAAGTTCATCCGGCACCAGTCAGACCGATATGCCAAAATTAAGCATACCTGGCGGAAGCCCAGAGGTATTGACAACAGGGTATGTAGAAGATTCAAGGGACAGATCTTGATGCCCAACATTGGTTACGGGAGCAACAAGAAAACAAAGCACATGCTGCCTAGTGGCTTCCGGAAGTTCCTCGTTCACAACATCAAGGAACTGGAAGTGCTGCTGATGTGCAACAAATCTTACTGTGCTGAGATTGCTCGCAACGTTTCCTCCAGGAACCACAAAGCCATTGTAGAAAGAGCAGCCCAGCTGGCCATCAGAGTCACCAATCCTAATGCCAGGCTGCGCAGTGAAGAAAATGAATAGCTCGTGTACGTTTTGTGTTTAAATAAAACCATAAAAACTGCCCTCTGGCAAATAAACAAACAAAAAACACTGCTTGTGCTCTTTGCTGCAACCGTGTCAGGTAATATGAGTAGTCTTAATTCAAATTAAAGTTCTACCCAAATTCTTATAAAACATTCACCTCTAATACAGGTGGTAAGAAATGTTAAATCTTGCCTTTTTTTTTTTTTTTTTAAAGAAGAAGCTTAAAGGTGTTCAGGAGGACACCATTTCAAATATCAGTCATATTAAAAGTAAATGGATGGAATGGGTGAATTTTCTATGTAAAGTATGGCTCAAAAAAGTTGCTTTAAAAACAGACATTAGATGGAGAATTCCTGGCACTTTGCTCTTTTACTGTTCATCACCCAAGATAGATATTGAAGGCAGAGGCTCACAAACTCCAATGCTTAAAGGAATCAGAGAAAGGAAGGTGAACTTATTCTCTATGCCTCCAGTGAACAGCCACTGGCTGGCTCCAGTGGACTGCTGCCATACAAAAGGCGGTGCCTAGTGAGTCCAAACTTTCTGATTTTTCAGAGTACATGGAGATATAGATCTCTGTGAATTAAAACACTGGCGATACTGTATGAGTCGAGGAGAATCCCTCTGTAGATCACATCTACCCCAAGGCCACCATTTTGCACACTGAGTAGAAGAATACCTTGGATACATTTATTTGTTATTTTCTGTGTGAGATATACCTCACAACACAAAGTTTAAAAATGTATATTAGGCCGGGTGCAGTGGCAAGGCACCTGTAATCCCAGCACTTTAGAAGTTCAAGTCGAGAGGATTGCTAGTCTGGGAGTTCAAGATCAGGCTGGGCAACATACAGAGACCATGTCACAACAAAAATATAAGATAAATGAGCCAGGCATGGTGGCATGTGCCTATAGTCCCAGCTACTTGGGAGACTGAGGCAGGATCGGCTGAGCCCAGGAGGTTGAGGCTGCAGGTCGCCATGATCATGCCACTAGCACTCCAGCCTAGACAACACAGAGTGAAATTACAGCTCAAAAAAAAAAAAAAGTATATTAAAAATACATTTTGAGCTGGGTGCAGTGGCTCACGCCTGTAAACCCAGCACTTTGGGAGGAGGCGAGAGGACTGCTTGAGTCCTGGGGTTCGAGACCAGCCTGGGCAACTTGGCGAGACCTCATCTCTACAATAAATTTTTTAAAAAAATTAGCTGGGCGTGGTGGTACGTGCCTGTGGTTCTAGCTACTTAGAAGGCTGAGGCGGAAGGATTGCCTGAGCCCAGCAGTTCAAAGTTACAGTGGCTGTGAGCAGGGTGCCACTGCACTCCAACCTGGGTGACAGAGTGAGATGCCGACTCAAAAAAAAAAAAATTTTTTTTTAAAAGAATACCTTGGTAAGAAAATACCATGGGCCAAGAAAAACTTTAGTAATGAATAAGCTTAGCTTTTCTTGTGAGTCAAATAGCATGCAAATTTATAACTATTTCAGAGAAAGTGATATAGCAACTTGGATCTGCAGTGAGTTTCTACAACCCAAATGCCCACACTCCAAAGTAACAATCAGAGCCAAAACAGATTCACTGCCCAGCAGATCTGAGCACTTCAGAAGCTGACTACTAATGACATTGGTTTTCAAAGTCAGTGACTGAGCAAAGTTATTCTTGTAATAAAATAATTATTTTAATTATTTGAAATAATTTTAAACATCTGATCAATAAGATTATACACAAATATGAGCGTATGCTGCACTTTACCAAAAAAATAAAGCTAAGCATTTAAATATACAAAAACAACTTTGGGTATAGATTTTTTTTTTTAAAGTACTCTTTTGACATATACATAATTTATAGCATTTTACATAATAACTTGCCAAAACAAAAAATGTGGCCAATTCAAAATTAACTACAGTATAGAATATGGCCATAACAGTCCCAACAGGAAGAACAGGATAAAGAGTAACATACGTGAGGTGGTTTGTTTTCCTCTGAATTCTTTTTCTAAGAAGCACAGCATTTACCATTTTCTAAAAACCTTCTTGGGGGTTTTAGTCAGTCTGTTTGCGATTCTAACTACAGTGATTATTTTTCACCAGTTACAATCCACACAGGTGAAATTTTTCTTTAAAGAGGGTTTGCTTTGCCTATGAGCTTCTTCCTCAGATGAAAATGTATAACATGCTTCTCATATTTAGAGCTAAGATCACCAACAGTGGAATACTGACTGACATTATCTTTAAGTATAGAATCCAAGATGGAGTCCTACTATTAAAAATTTCGAATCATCAATTAGGATTTTTAAAATGCACCAAAATGCTTAAAACTTAGGGTAACTGAAAGACATTATGAAAGAAGGAACTACAAAAACCAGACTTCTTGGGATTTAAAACAAAGCGAAACAAAAATAACTTCCTCCTTCAGAAATACTGTAATCTGAAACTGGTACATTTTCCTTTTAGTTGGTTATGATGTTTTCCCATCAGCAAAACACGTGTCAGTTGCTTTGTGGTTCTAATTCCACCTCACCCCTTGGGTATGTGGAGCGCATTTCCTGTTTCCCCCTCCTTAGTTTGAACACAACGCATCATTCCTTCCAATACATTCCACCTTTTCTGTTTTTTCAACGAGGTATATCAACAGTTTCAATTTTAAGATATCCCTGACAAAGATGTCTCCTCACTTGGTATCAGAAGCAGCACATGGTGACATGAACCAGTGACTTAGCAACCCAGGCACAATCTATCCTTCAAATGCCTCATTTTGACAATACTGGGACCCAACCAACCAAGGTCACCACAGGCCCTACTTTGTGGTCCGTCACCTTCAACTACAGGTGGCTGTCATAGTTAGCCATGCAACTTCTGATTCTAACCCAATCAAACCCAACTCTTTGAGACAGGCTAAGTATAAGATGACATGTATTTTTCCCATATTTTCTTGAGTGGCTCTTCCTTTCTGCATCTAAATGCAGGCTGCATCAGGGAAAGCCACCTCACCTGTTACAACTTGGCAGATGAAGCAGGTAGTAACAAACAGGGCCTTAACCTGCTGTCATTAAATGCTCAGGTAGGCAGATGCCTACTTCTGTGTAAAGTATATTTCATAACTGATTTTCAGAAGACAAAGATGAATTCTAGTCTATAAGAACCCCACGGAATGGAAAGGTAAGAAGTCAATAAAAGTTTATAAGTGTAAACAATGGTCTTCCATATTGATGATTATTCTCCAGAAATGGAAATTTCTGGACAGTGCAACAATCTTGTGATGTCTTCTTTGGCAGTAAACAGCAAGGATGTGGATGGAGAGTGGCATGGTCACTTTAGAAGGGCAAGGTACAGAGCTCGAGAGGACTTCAATTCCCTTTCCTGTTCCATGCAGAATATCAAGTCCCTGAGGCAAATTCTCGTGATTCTTGGACGAAGGAATTGTTTGGCGGCTGTCAGGCTGGATGGCCCAGAAGCGAGAAGGTTGTCTTTTAAGCCCTAAACAGAGTAAAAGGAAAAGCAGTTTAAAATAAAGAATTGTTCATAGACGAAAAGATGGTCAATTCCAGCATGTCAGAACCCTGGAGTCTCTAGGTTAGACACTAGAGACAGTGTCCGTGAGATGCAACCCTGTCCTCTAGCAGCCAGACTCGATGGCCACCACACCCATCTCAGGACCTCACTCATTCTTCCCTTCTAACCTGGACCACGGCAACAGCCACTGAAGTGAATTCTCCACTTTGCTGCATTCTTCCCTGTACACTGCAGCTACACTTTCCTCTTTAAAAGTCTTATACAAAACTTTTGGGAGTGATAGCTGTCTTTATTATTTTGATTGTGGCAATCAAAATGTACACTCTAAATGTATGCAGTCTCTAGTATGTCAATAATAAAAATAAGTACAAAAGCCCTCATGGCTCAGATCCCACCATACCACGGTTCCAAAATTTTCAGTAGTTCCCCACTGTCCAAGTCACTACTTGAGAACCTGTGAAATATTGAGAACTACGTTAAGCACGTTTCACTTATTAGCTTTTTTCTATCATGCATCACTGCAGCAAGTTACGAGTGCTGTTCCCATTTATCAAATGAGGAAACAATTTACAAAGGATACACAGTCTGTTCAAAGTCACATAGCAAAGTTGAGCTGAACTCAATTTCTCATGTGATCCAAGGTGAGTGCTCTTCATCACTACACTCCAGTACCCACCATGTCAGGCACAGATCTATCACCCTGGCTCCTCCACAGCCTCCCTTCCCATTGCTTCTTTATGAAGCATGTTAATTCCAGCTACACCGTTCCCATACCAGCAGGCAGAGATCAGTGAAGGGGCCATTCTAGGCCAACCAACTAATCTTTAAAGACCCATTCAAGTGATTCTACCACCAACTCGCCCAAGAAATTGATTGCGGCAATCGCCTTGTATTCTAGTAATCTGTATACACTTCCAGCACCACCACATACCCTCTAGACCATAGGCTTTCTGAGGACAGGGACTATGGTTTCTCTTTCCTCCAGGACTTAGCAGAGTACATAGAACAACACAGATTATTTGTAACATTTTCTAAATTGAATGTACTGGCTTAAAACAGACCAACCAATGAGTTCCAAATGTCATTTTAAAATGAATGAAACCCAATACTCCTATATTAAACAGTTTTCTAAATATCAACGCCTGTACTGTTTTTTAAAAAATTGAAAGAAGAAAAACAAAGAATTCTTAAAGAATAATTTTGTAAAAATGACATTCTTTATTCTTCTTTTAAAATTTATTTTTATTTTTACTTTTTTGAGTCAGAGTCTCACTCTGTCACCCTGGCTGGAGTGCAGTGGCACACTCACTGCCACTGCAGCCTCGACCTGCTGGGCTCAGGTGATCCTTCCAACTCAGCCTTCCAAGTAGCTGGAACCTACTTGGCGCCATCATGCTAAATCTATATATGTAGAAAAGTGCTTCTTACCAGAAGTTTGCCTGAAACCAGTAGTTCAGTGCTTTATGTGAACTTTTAAATTAAGTGGCTAGATGGACACTATGTCTGGGCAATTTTACGTCTATGTAAATACCCAGACGGAAATGCCACAGGTCCATCAAAAGACCTATTTTTTTGATTTACTGTAGAGACGAGGTTCACCAAGTTGCCCAGGCTGGTCTCGAACCTGTGGGCTCAGACAATCTTCTTGCCCCCGTGAGCCAAAGTGCTGGGATTACAGGCATAAGCCACCACACCCAGCATATTATTATTATTATTAACCATCCTTTGTTTCAAAAACTTCTTGGTAGAATTGACAACCTTCATTTATCCACTCAAAAGACACACAAGAAAAGATATTTACCTAAGATGGGAAGAAAATCCAGTTCTGTTACTGTCCTTTTATAACCATCACATTTTAATTACTCCCTCTATCTTTTTGGCTTTTTTATTTTAATGGGAATAAGAGAAATCCTTAAAGGTCTCCAAGATACCATGGTCAAAATCAGTCACACTTTTTTCTAAGCATGTTGATAGCATGGCTTGGGGATGGGGGCACTTTATCTGGTGATCAAATAAAATACTATCCAGCTTTTGAGGGACATGATATCACAATCATATTTTACACTCATTAGTTAAACATGTTCATTAGTACCCATGGAAAAAATTTTGGAAAAGCCCACATTTTAAAAGCGGGAAAAAAGATTGATCTTGGCCACACAATTGTTTGGCTACCCATCCCGGAGCCCAGGTTATAGCAGTACATTGCCAGCTTCTTGCTCCTCCTGCAGGGTTCATGGGAATGAATCCTGTACAGGGAATGAAATCTCTACAAGTGGAAGCCTCTGGAACTTTGGCTCAGCATGGTATGAAGCACTAACTAGTCACTCTTCCCTGCTTACATCATCACTGGGAGATGGTGTGACTCAGGTGTGATCTTAACTATGTAAAGTATTACCATCAAAATATCTCCGTGAGATTTTTGCAGAATGGGTGCAGTAACTCAGCTTGGAAAACTGAATAAAGTACATATTAGGAAGAAAGCCAGCAAAAAGTATAATTGGCAGTGAGTGGCAATTTTGCTGTTTATAGGAGTTACCTGTTTAAAACTACAATACATTTAACTAGAGGCACTTTCTTTAGCCATAAGCTAGATGTATTATGCCAAAGCTAAATCTATATAAGTAGAAAAATGCTTCTTACCAGAAGTTTGCCTGAAACCAGTAGTTCAGTGCTTTATGTGAACTTTTAAATTAAGTGGCTAGATGGACACTATGTCTGGGCAATTTTACGTCTATGTAAATACCCAGACAGAAATGCCACAGGTCCATCAAAAGACATGTTTAAGAATGACTACTACTCACAAGGGCCCTAAACTAGAGACAACCTCAATCTCTTAATAGAGTAGAAAAGATATACTGTCTAATATTCATACCATGAAATACTACATAGCAATAATGACTGTGCAGCACAAAAGTATATCACAAAAATATTAAATGAAAGGAAGCAGACACAAAGGAATACATACTATATGATTCTACCAAGCCTGAAAACAGTCTAGAAAAGTCAGGATAGTGAGTTCCCTTGGGGAAGATGAAAAGTCATCAGAAAAAGACCGAGGTTTTCTGGAGCTCCAGTGATGTTCCCTTCTTGTTCTAACTAGTGTCTACATGAGTGTATTCATGCTGTAAAAATGTGGTGAGCTTATGATTTGTGTACTTTTTGTATCGATGCAATATACTTCAATAAAAAAACCTGCTACCCAAAAAACCCTGTCTCAGTAGGAAATTAAAATGAAAGCAAAGGGGGAAAGGAAAGAAAATAAGGCAAAATTGTTAAATAGGAAAAAAAAAAAAAAAAAGAGAGAGAGAGAAAGAGACCTAATCATCTGAGTAAGGAACAAAGGGGTCACAGTTCATGTTTGTCATGTGACAAGCCTGAAGGATCCAGGGGAAAGAGCCATATTACAGCTGCCAGCACAGGGTTGAAAAGGAGGTCATTCCAACAGGATGCAGCAGAAGGCCTGAGGCAATGTTATAAATGAAACAAACCCCAAGGGACATTCAGTAACCCAACAGAAATGTCTTTCATAATTCACAACTTTACAAAGGTGATGGCATTCTCTTCCCCCAAATAGCGCCTGACTTAGAAAGTCAATCTTTTTTGAACCTGAATAAAAAATATACAGCATTTTTATTCCTGTGCTTATAATTTAGGAAAATCCACAATTCTAACTTGTCAGTTTCACAATGACCTAGCAGAATCAACATCTACCTCTCAATTATCCACAGACAAGAGAATGGAGAATGCACTGATAATTTATGGCCATAAAACCAAGCCTGTCTTTCCACCACCAGTTTTACTTTTCCTTTCCAACCAAGTCTTCTCTCCAAAGTTGACTAGAACTGATTTCTGGTCATACTACACTGTCAATGACAAAGACCACTAATGTAACTAAGGGCCTGAGCTTGTAAGATGAAAAAAGGCTCTTGTGACAATGTACGATGACTTGTAACAATGTACTGTTTATTTCTGAAATAGAGGGCTTTCCTTCTTGGTTTCCTACATGAGAATATTCCTCAGTTTGGATTCTTCACCTGGATGAAAAGAAAGTGAAATGGAAGATTAAAGAAACCTCGGCTGGGCTTGGTGGTTCAGCCTGTAATCCCAGCACTTTGGAAGGCTGAGGCAAGAGGACTACCTGAGCTTGGGAGTTCAAGACCAGTCTGGGAAACTTGATAAGACCTTGCCTCTACAGTAAATCACACACACAAAAATTATCCAGGCATGGTGGCGTGCATTTGTAGTTCCAGCTACTTGGAAGGCTGAGGCGGAAGGATTGCCTAAGTCCAGCAGGTTGAGGCTGTGGTGGTTGTGATCATGCCACTGCACTCCAGCCTGGGTGACAGAGTGAGACTCCAACTCCAAAAAAAAAAAAAGGAAAAGAAAAGAAAAGGAAAGAAGGAAAGAAGGAAAGAAAGAAAGAAAGAAAGAAAGAAAGAAAGAAAGAAAGAAAGAAAGAGAGAAAGAGAGAAAGAGAGAAAGAAAGAAAGAAACCTCACTTACCAGGTGCACAGCAGATGTCCTAGGAAGACTAATCAAACCTACATGTTAACATACTCTAAAACTGCCAGATCAATTATTTCAGTCTTTATTAATTTGTTAAATTATATCACTAAATAAATTTTCTCATTTTTATAATAAAATGTTTGAGGCATTCTATTGCTCTAATTAGAATACACTGAATATAGTCAGTTACCAATTCCAGAAAAATAACTTTTTAAGAATGAAACTAAGTAACCAAAAATAACCAACAATCCAAATTTGTATTCCCTCAACTTAATAGAGCAGGTGTTGTGAAGTAAAACCTTCAAAAGCTTTCCTACACATTTCCTTAGATACTCCTATACTAACTTAGAAGCAGAGACATCTTTATCAATCCAGTGGCTTCATGAATCCTGCTAAGGTTCTCAGTGACTTCATATGGGACTCTCCTCCCAAGAGCCACCATCCAAGGTAACTTGGCT